TGCCAAAAGTGACACCCCAGAAATAAGCCATTTTTTTCTCTCTTTTTTTTTTTTAACCCTCACCTGAGGATATTTTTACCATCGCTTTTCAGAGACAGTGGAAGGGAGAAAGAGAGAACTACCAATGTGGGAGACACACATCGATTGGTTGCCTCCCTCATGTGCCCCAACCAGGGCTGGGGATGAAGCCTGCAACTGAAGTATGTGCCCTTGGCCAGAATAGAACCCGGGACCCTTCAGTCCACGGGCCAACGCTGTAATAGCTGAGTCAAACCAGCCAGGGCAAAACCCAACTCTTATAGTGCATACTGAATTACAGAAGATACAACTAGAAAACAAGTCAGTGAATGAAAAGTACACTTGCTACACACAACATGGTACCCTGTTAGCAAAGACATGTGCCCCCAAAAAGACATACAGCAATGGTCATAAAGCAAAGGCCCACAACACAAATAAAACAACTTAAAACATAAAATGTCAAGAACTGGACAAAACCAACTGAATCAGCATGTGATGAGATCTCATATGACTTGATGAATTTCTGTGGCCAATTTTAATGAGTCTGGCAAAAAAGGCGTTTCATTAGGTAAAGGTTGGATTGGTTCTGTTACATACCCAGATTTCAAGTCAGTTATCCTCAAACAGTTTGTAGCATCCAGTCCCACTTTTCCATTGCGGACCACACTAGATATGAATGGGGAGAGCATTGGAGAAATTCGGTTCAAGGCCACTTCTGGGGACATTTTAACTTGACTTGCAAATCACCACTGAAAGCAGAAGGAAAGAATAGTGATCAGAGTATCCAAAAGAACTACATACAACAAGCTTCCTGAAAACTGGCACAGAGCACAGAAGTTTCTCTTACATGAATAAATACATTTCCTGTCTTAGCAGCCTCTCCTCTCCCAACAAAATCATCTCCCTGCTATTCACCTACTTAGGATAGACTACACCACTGCTTTTCAGGAACAGAGTTAACCCTTGAAATCCAATTCCCTCCTCCTTTCCAAAGCTGATTTCTACACTACCACATTCAACTTAAAACTGTCCCACTCTGTCTTACAACTGGCAGGTTCTACTTTAGTTGAGGCCTTAAGAAGCCTTCACTGACAATCCTCTCCCTCTAACATACAAAACCTACATATCACTAGGTCAGGAATCCTCCTTCTATGAATAAGAACTTGGCTAATAATGCTATATAAAAACCTACAACAAGCATAACCTACTTACAACTGTTACTTACTAGAAATTTTCTTCTTCTGATATACCCTTCATTAACTGTTCCTGCACAGTGTATTATAACCACCTGCTTAGTGATCTCTCTCTTGGAGAGAGATCACAAACTAAACACCCAATAAACATTTTTAAATAAATAAGTGAATAAGGAGACAAAAGCTAGAGAAATATTTAGGTATGGAGAGAAGGTACTACGCCCTCAAAGATGTGATCAAGGGTAGCACAGCATATCTGAGCAATAGATGTAGCAAAAATCTACTTAACAATTAAATCATAAAAACAACACCTATCCAGGTGTTCAGCAACACAAACATGGATCTAAAAGTCTTTGACTATAAGGCACTAAGTTCTTGAACTTGAAAGTACAAAAGTAAAACCAATAAATCATATCTATACTACCTGGAAACCCATGGGGCAGGGGGAAGGAACACATGAATTCCTCTTAATAGATTTCTAAATGAAAGTCTCTACTTTCAGAGGTGACTAAGTCAATTTAAATTATCATTTTCTTCCTCAATCTGAAAGGATAATCCCACATCAAAAGCAATTAATTTCCCGCAAGTTACAAGTAAATGATGTTCTGCTTCTAGTTTCCATATATTATACCATATGAAGACTTACATGTCCCTGCTAAAATAAATGTTGAAAACTAGCACCTGTTTTACTCATTTCAGACAGTAATAAAGGGAAGAACTGCAGTATTACTATTCAAAAAATAGTAATACTGTGACCCTTCTGGGTAATGACACCCAGAAGTATCTTTAAGGCAGTAAAAGCTTTATACTTTAGTACCCAAATTATCCTTTCTGCAAATACAAAACAGGCTCCTCTTCCGACCACCTAACAGATGACCTCTCTCCACCATTTCAATGTCATCACAAAGTAAGAATAAATGTCTAATGCATGGTATTATCAATCAAAAAAGTTATGTGCATTTTTATAACACTTTATCACTTATAAAGAGCTTCCATATACATTAGTACAGTTGATCTTCACAACCCTGGGCAGTAAGGAGTTCCCACTTTACAGATGACACAGGTAACTTATATCTTTGAAAAGTATACTAATCCATATTATCATTTTGAAGCCTATTTTTTCTATTCTGCAATATTTCTATCTTTTTTAACTAACCACTGGTGTCAGTGTTCTTGATAGGATGACTGATTATCTAGTTCACAAGCAAATACAAAAATACTTACCTGGAGGGGTGGAATCTCACCTACATTACGAAATGAGTCTTCCTTGTTTTTCCCATAATTTTAATTATGGGAAATATCTATTATAATTTTATTTCATTTCTATGAAAAAGGAAAACAGAACATTCTGAACATCTACTCAGTATCAAACGCTGTATTGCTCACTTCTTTCTGTAATTTCATTCACTTCCCCTGAACAAACCTGTCCTCGGGTTAATATTAGTTTCCACTTCACAAATAAGAAAACTAATACTCAGCAAAACTAACCAACTTGTTCAAAGTCACCAACCTAGCAAGCAGAAGAATCAGAATTCAAATCTAGATCTCCCTCAAAGTCCACTATTCTCATTTTCCTCTCAAATAAAAATAATTTTAATCACCAAAGAGAAAAGCATCAAAGTGAATTTTTAAAGTACACATCTTGTAAAATTTGGACAAAATGGCATGAATTTAAACTCATGGGTGCTTTAAACTAGAAACCAATTAGACTACTGCTGGCCTACTGTTGAAATTGGCCTGACTGCACTAGTCAAATGCTAAAGGGAACAAACCTGCTCCAGAAGCCAAACTACACTTAAGGTGACAACAACCCATTCCATTTCAGCAACTGTCATGACCTTAGAATGACACCTGAAGGAATGAATTTGTCTTTGTTTCCAGAACAGCCAAAATACTATTTTTTTGACAGTTCAAGGTTTCATGCAGTGTTAAAATCTGTTTCAACCATGAGGTGCTGTGACTTCTCTAAAAGAGAGGGAAAAAATACTCCAAAATCAGAGGTCACAGAATAGATGATGGTCCTTTGGTGCAGTCATTTTGAGTAAGGGACTGGGGGGATCATCCCTCAGTAGCAGCTTTTACACATCTCAGCACTGTAATAGATCACAGGCAAAAATTTATGACGGCCAGCCTCCCCTGAATGCTAGTTAGGCAATTTGTATTTCCTGATTTTGACATATTACATGAGGAAAATGCAGAAATGCAAATTTTAAAGGTGTCTGCTGCCTCAAACTAAGGTCACATAAGGTCCCTTGACTGGCCGTCTGGTGAATACAAAGACGTCTAAAGCATCGTCCAGTTTCTTGCAATTAAGATGGGATGACAAACACGGAAACGTGTGCCCTGCTGACGTCATGGAACGGAAAGAGGTAGCGTCCAGCTGCGTCACGTCAACGTCATAGGGCGCACGAGGGAAGTTACACTGGGGAAGTCATTTCTCCAAGGGGCAGCACTCAGAAAAACAAGCCGGCTACGACCCAAAAAATGACCACCCCAGTCTCGGAGACGTTTAAAAGGGGCACTCTCCCTTCTCCCAGGGTTTATGACCCCTCATTAGGGAAAAGGAGGAAGAAGTCAGGCCAACGGAGACCGGGGGCGGGCTAGGGAAGGAGAAAGGGTAACTCCTGGCCTCGGAGTCTCGTCCGTGAGGGGACCAGCGTGATGGGGATGAGCAGGGCATCTCTGGAACAGGGGCCTTCCTTCTCTATCGGAGGGGAGGCGAGCTCGGGGCACGTTTAAACCACGGTCCTCGGCACCACCTGTGCGACTCGGGATCCAACCGCCCCACACCAGCCCCAGCCTAGGTACCTGGAACTTAGTCCGTTCGGTAACCGGCGACTACGTGGGGTACAGGTTACCCGAGCGCGCCCCCGACCGACGCACCGACCTGCGCGCGCACCGCGGGCCGATGCGTGCGCGCACCCGGACGTC